TTAGGGTTTAGGGTGGCCCAGAGAGCCCAATACACCCGTAATTAGGGAATCTACCTTGAGTGATGGGGGGGGGGTTAAATCTTATGATTTGGCCCTTTCTGTCTCGAATCCCTTAGTTTGCAAGACCCTTACTTCAGGGAAACTCTTGGAGGCTTTTGGACTATGGTATGAAACCCTAAACCCTAAACCCTAATGAAGGATACAGCGTAGGTCCGATGGTACAGGCTTGGTTCTTAGGTCCTTGAAGAAGGGATGTCTTTATGGCCTGCCCCAAACCCCTGTTTTCGATCTTTCGGCCACCCATCCCTGGCCAAGAAACGCCAAAACTCCAAGCCCCGAGGCCTAGCTAGACTCTCGAGTTGCAGAAGTCGTCCGTAAAGCATGCAACAGATGTCAGAACTGGAAATAGTTCGAAGAGTTCCGCTAGCCTGCACCCTCAACACGGAGCTCAACAAACCGAGACCCTAAACCCCAAGAAATTTGAGGACAAGTTTCGGACCTACTTGCGTTTACGTTGACCTACGCCAGCCCAGGCTGGGCTTTGCGGGCGGGCACGGACTCGAGGGCTTTGGAGATAAAGGCTAGGGGTTTAGGGCATAAGGTAGGGTGCTTGCAACATGTGCTTCATATTGCAGCTGCGGAACATGATCCGCTTCGGGTCTCAAGCTTGTACTTTGACTGTGGCTTACGCCCCGAATTGACAACAACAGAACTGCTTCAAGACAAGAACGAACACCAGATCTTCAAGAATGAGTTAGAATGCCTTCGTCATAGTCCCCAAGCCATAAATAAAAACAAGGCAGAGTTTAATTTCATGATTTAGGGCTTGGGCTGTGAGATTGTTTGGTGGGTTTGGGGTTCAGGGCGCTTCGTAGCGCTTGTGCACATTGACGCCAGTCAATACTTAAACTTAGCAGTTAACATGAGCTTTCAGCCAACTATTCCTCGTGCGGTTATTCTTGCCGCTGCTCGTTTTTGTCTAGATAAGAGGATGGATGACGATTACAAGATATTACAATCATTGACGGGACTCAGGCCCTATGTCGTGTAAGGTTGTACGGCCTACAGTTGTTAAGGGTTCAGGGTTTCATTGCCAGGTGCCTCCTGGTGGCCGCGGGCCATTTGCCACTGCTCGCCAAAGAGACGCCCCAGTGAAGTACCCAAAATACAACCTCTTGTCCTGGAGGGAGCTTAGCGCCGGAGGGTTCAGGTGACATGTAACACCATGCTTCGTAGCGTGCTTGTTGTGACTTTCACTGTTTCGACCGCCACTGTAGATAGTGTTGTTGGTATCATGATTGCTCGCCATAGGACTTCGGCCAGCAATACGATCAGTCATCTCCTCACTAGGCAGGTTTGAGTATGATGACTTGATGTGCGATTTCTCACGCACGAAGCCAGTGCCCGCGATGTCAAACTGCAAGGAAGACCCTAAACCAGTACAGATGCCCCAATAATCAGCATTGTAGTCCCACTCATTGGTTCGTGTGCATGAATTATACCCCAAACCCCTAGTCACTAGTCTTAAGTTTTTGGCCCTTCTATACTCCGGTTTCCCAATTACAAAAACCTTGGTTGCACCTTGAACCCCCAAAAAACACACACGGTCGCCAACCTAAACCCTCTTTCTTTTGAAGCTTTAGCATCCCACTCAGCATCGCAAAGAAGATGCAAAGACAACGCGCCGCCTTGCGGTCTCTCGTTTAAAAAGCTTAGGGTTCAGGATTTAGGGTTTAGGGTGCCCCTGGTAAACCCTAAACCCTAAACCCCGAAACCCTAAACCCTAAACTTAGCGGGCATGTTGGGTCGCCGCCAGTTTGTGCACTGTCAGGATTAGACGCAGATTCGGAGGGTGGCACCGAAGGCGCAGGCGAAGAAGAGGAGTAAGAGACTAACGTGTGGGCCTAAATAGTTACCTATATTATTTTGGAGTGTTCCTTATTATCACTGTAGTATAGCATACCCCCAAACCCTATTCTAGTCATTAAGGCCCCTACATTAAACCCTTATAGGCCTTATTATAACTGTAGTATAACATACCCGCAAACCCTATTCTAATTATTAAGGCCCCTCTATTAAGCCCTTATGGTAACTCTTATGGAGCACTTTAAAGGAACCCTTAAAGGAACCCTATTCTAATCATTAAGGCCCCTCTGTTAGCATTGCCTTTTCTTCTTCTTTGGCAGTGAAGTCACACTTGGCCAGAGAGCCTGGAGCCTCAAACCCGAAGCCCTGAAGGGTTCAGGGTTTAGGGTTTAGGGTTTTAGGGTTTAGGGTTTAGGGCTTTAGGGTTCTAGGGTTTTAGGGTTTTAGGGTTCTAGGGTTTTAGGGTATTTAGGGTTTTAGGGTTTTAGGGATTAGGGCTTTAGGGTTTGGGGTTTAGGGTTTAGGGGGTTTTAGGGTTTTAGGGTTTTAGGGTTTTAGGGTTTAGGGTTCAGGGTTTAGGGGATGTAACATTGCCGCCTGAATGGTTGGGTAGTTCTCTAAATTAGGGTCCCTTTTCAGGTCCCCAATATAGTACGGCACCCTTATAAAAAGGACCGTAAAAGGGATCCTAATTTAGAGAACTACCCAGTCACTAGTATATACGAATATATATATATATATATACACGAATACAGTTCCTCAATTGAGACTCGGCTTCCCATGCTATCAAGACTCGTCGCCGAGTTGTCGTTTCAACCTCAGCATCAAAAGATAGCCAAGACCTGGTTCTACAAGGAACAATCTTGAAACAGTAGGTGGGATCCCTCTTAGATTCAGGAGCACTCTTGGTGTGAGAGGTGCTGGACTGGAGAGACTGTTAGAGTAACCGGGCACCGGTCATGTCCATTGGAGTCTTGGTGACTCTACTCAGTGGCGACCAGACCTGCATCTCGGTGACCGAGGATGCGCTGGTAGATGTGCTGCGGCAAAAAGCGCAGAAGAAGCTGAACGCCAGCATCGGACCTTTGATAACTGCTGCTGGCTCGCTGCTTCAGGGGTCTGCTACCCTGAAGCAGGCGGGCCTTCGTGATGGCGACACGGTCACAGCCATCCTACGAGCCTCTCTGGTGCTTAGAGGGGAGTGGGAGAGTGGATTCCTAGTACTTACCTTAATCCCTCCTACATATTCCCCGATAGTAGTCCTGCTGTGCCTTTCTGCATAAACCCTAAACCCCAAACCCTAAACCCCACACCCTAAACCCTAAACCCTAAAATCCCAAACCCGAAACCCTAAACTCCGGTCTTCCTGAAGCAACGGTGTATAAGGAGATCCTGCCCTGGCAGCGACGACCGGGGCCTTTGCGCTGATCCGGGGAGACGGCTCGGTCGTAGCATGGGGACATCCCGGCACGGGTGGTGACGAAGACGGTTCGAAGTATTTTCTGGTTGGTGTTACGTCTTTTACGTGGCATGGACAAAGAACTCACAGTTAGAGGACGATTAAAGCAGTATGATATGAAATAGCATAGTTTGATTTTAGTGTTGAGGTCCCTCTCCAAGTACCGAGCTGACTGCAGCGCAGTACTGGAGCAGCTACAGAAGGTGAAGTGCATCAAAGCCGCAGCGGCAGCCTTCGCCGCACTCCGCGAAGACGGCTCAGTGGTCACGTGGGGTGGGAACCTGGGCACATGTTGTCAAGGGGGGTTTAGGGTTTAGGGTTTAGGGGTTTGGGGTTTAGGGAACTCTGTGACTTAAGCTTACATTCCTTCACCTTGAGGCCTAAACGCCTTTTGAAACCCTTAACCGCTAAGTTTATGGCAACTTGAAACTCAGTTCCTCAACGAGAACGTGGCCATGTCCCATAAACCATTCAGTTGTGGAAATGCCCAAAGGCGTCCAAATCCCTGAAGTAAGGAATGTTCCGCAGATTGTACTAACAATTTAGGGCCCCTCCATAATTTCACACATGTTCCTGAATAAACGGAGTTTGGGTTTCAAGAGTGGGCTACACAATCCTATGTTGACCATTACAAAGCCCCAAAAGCCTGCATTGATCCGCGTTTAGATGGCGAATTCCTGTGTTGAACCCTGTAGAACCCACAAGGCCCTAAACCCTTTAATGACCTTTGCTTGGGGTTTAGGGTTAAGGGTCAGTTTTCCATGATAATCAGATTGCGAAATCGCCACAACCCTAAACCCTATCCCCAAACCCTTAGCCCTAAACCCCGAACCCCAAACCCCAGGCCCTAAAAGCCCAGGCACGGAGGCCATAGCGCCGAAGTTCAAGAGCAGCTACACGATGTCTCAGAGATCCAGGCTTTGCGTCTGGGGTTTAGGCTTTAGGGTTTAGAGTTTCGGATTTAGGGGTACTGACGAAGCCACATCTGGGCTTTCTCTAATAATGTGCTCTTGCTCTTAGAAGGTTCTTGATAGGGTGTTGAAAGGGGCTTTTTAGAATATCGACAGATCCGGAGAAATGTGTTTTATCGGGTTGCAACGGGTTTGGGGCGATGTGGGGCATGTACTGTGGGAGCATATTGGGGCATCCCCAACCCGAGTATTTCAGACACCCCCAGACAAGAGTTTAGAAAATTAAAGGCCACCTTCGGCGCTTTCGCTGCCCTGCGCACGGATGGCTCTGTTACTCGGTCCTTGTCGTGGAGCTTGTTTACGTTTGACAAGCTGTCATGATTTAAGGGCTTGAGGGATCAAGGGCAAGGGATAGGTACAAATGTTAGCATTAGTATCAGTGTTAGCATTGTAATAGTGTTAGCATCAGCATTGTCATTCTAACTATTACTATTGCCTTACTATTCCTTTCTAATCCAGGTTGTGGCCTGGGGCGACCCAGACGCTGGCGGTGCAATACCCGACAATGTCCCCTTGCTTTCTGTTGGAATAGCATGTAAAGGTTTGGGGATGAGGGATTCGTGTTCAAGTTGTTTGTTTTCGCTTCTGCGCGAGGATGTCCAAAATCTTGTTGCCGCGCCTTTTGGATTCTGCTTCTTTTCCGAAGGACCTTGAAAGAAGGGTACACATCAACAATCTCCTTGAACACTTTTCGTATGATGTGACTATATACTGTACTATACTATACTTTACGATTACTAAAGTATGAGCATTCTACTAGCTACACCGTCTTACATTTATACTATAGCCGACTTGTTACAGCCCACTATACTCGAGGTCCGGGCTCGCTTACGCGATGTGAAACACATCCAGGCGAATGCACTGGCTTTCGTGGCGCTCCGCGGGGACGGAACCTAGGATCGGTTTAGGCTTTAGGCGGTTTAGGGTTTAGGGCGCTCCGCGGGGACGGAACCTAGGATCGGTTTAGGGTTTAGGCGGTTTAGGGTTTAGGGCGCTCCGCGGGGACGGAACCTAGGATCGGTTTAGGGTTTACGCGGTTTAGGGTTTAGGGCGCTCTGCGGGGACGGAACCTGGGATTGGTTGGGCATATGACACGGGCATATGTCTTGACTTGTGCATGCACACAAGGTTGTCTATTTGTGTGTATTCGTGTGTATATTTGTATTTGTGTGTATGAAAATGGTGTTGACGAGCAAAATGTCACAAGGACCTGTACAAACTACACTTCATATCATGTGTACAGTAGAGCTGGTAGTCGTTCGTAAGACGTTGGTTCACAAGGACTAGACGCTATGTTGACTGTTCCCTGCTATTGCAAAGTATGCTCACTGGCGTTCGAGTAGACTTAACTTTAAGAGGCTATCACACGATGCAAACTGATATATATATATATACTAGTGAGGAATGAGAGCTGGTTACCCTGTCCATGTATGCGTTTTCAAATGCACATATAAGCGCATAAACACATACACATACATCCACGCATACATGGTACATATCTGTACAACTTTATACAGGGCCGTATAACGTATAGATTTACGTGAACCTACGAGACTCAAACATGCTTCTAGAAACGCATCGGCGTATATGCTTGTAAAAACCTGTAGGAATTCTCCATGTGCTTGGGTAAAGTACTTCAGAAGCTTATACATACCTGTACAAATACTTTAATGTACTGTACGTGTATGTATACATATATATATATATATATATTGTACATACTTGTGGGGACTTACATATGTGCTGACCTGTGCACTGGTTTGCTTGTTATTGTTGCAGTATGCGGATGTATACGTATACATATATATATATATACGTGTATAGAAAAACATAGAGATACTTGTCTCCTTAGTTGCTTCTTCGTTTGCTGGGATATACAGTACTTTTATGTTCTTGCATGAACACATACACACACACACGTGCACCCATATGTATGTATATATATATATAGATACATAAACATATCTGCGCATATTCAGAGAACAAAACGGTCTAATTATACAGGTTTGCTTTCTTGTACTTATATATAGATATATATAATTGTACGTCCTTAGATATTTCGAAACATGTTAACATGCTGGTGTGTACATATATGCATATATGTGTGTTTATTCAAACTCATATGACCTCTTCACGTACATGTACACACGCATGTATATATATATATATGTATATGTATATACATATATATGTTGAAGTGTTTCTACTCAGATACACTTACAATTACAACTGGTTCTGTGTGTGCGTGTCCGTGTTGCATTTATATCTAGATACATCTGTACATATATAGAAAGAGAGATAGAGAGATGTTTGTATGTTGTTGCCTATATACCTGTACAGACTATAATGTGAGCAAACACACATGTTTGCGCTTCATATCACCTACAAACGTTCAACTCTCTATCGACTTGGGGCGGGGTAGCTGACCGTGGCAGACACAGGAACCGTGGTCACCTGGGGCCATCCCCTGGAAGATGCAGACACGGGCGCTCTTCCGGATTTGCTTCAGGATGTTCTCTGTGTCCAGGCATGCCGATTGGATGCCGGGTTCGTTGCCATAAAGGCCGACAGCGTGGTCGCGTGGGGGTTCGAGCACCCAATGCTGATGGGTGGCTTTGTGAATCCCGGCGGCAGTCGCTTCCTTCGTTGTGGTTTGCAGATTTCGCGCAACGCATGGGCCGCTGTGAGCCAAGCAGGGCATCTCAGCGTGGAGTTTGGAAGATGGAATTACCGAGCCAATTTTGACATCGTGGAGGCGGAAAGACTTCACGATGTGGAACACCTACAATGTTGTGCCGAGGGCACTTTTGCAGCTATCCGAAGAGACGGCACGGTGGCGACTTTCGGTGACAAGCGGAACAAACCAGCGGTTTTCGTCGAGGAGGAATTGAAGAACGTGGTACAAATTCAAAGCAACCGCAGCGCCTTCGCTGCAATTCGCCGTGATGGGTCGGTTGTCACATGGGGTCCAAAAAGCTCTGGAGGGAACAGCGACCATGTCCAGCACCTTCTCAGCAACGTGAAGGCAATACAGGCTTCTGAGCGGGCATTTGCCGCCATTCGAGATGACTTGGCAGTATGTACGATGATGCAAGCCTCGGAGAGTGCTCCCACGAAGGCGACGGAAGGGCTGAAGGTCGCAAAGTCGAAAGCCAAGCCCAACGCCGCCAGGAGGCCGAAGCCCAAAGCAAAGCCCAAGGCAAAGCCCAAGGCCAAAGCCAAGGCCAAGGCCAAAGCCAAAGCCAAGGCCGGGTGTTTAAAGAAGCCGAGTCGACGATAGGTAGATCAGCTTTGAGCGGGAAGAGTGGTGCGGTGTTGACATACTTTCTGGAGTCCGCTCTCTACAAGGGCCCCTCATACTCCAATCGTAATATATAGAGGGCTTGAGACAAAGTTGATTCACAACCGGTTCCCTATAATGACATATAGAAGTCCCGAAACCCCAGTCAGATCATTCAGGCTTCTAGCTCAGGAATCTTGTGCTTACATGTCATTCTGGGCGGCTTGCTTGCAAGTTCAGGAATGTTTCGGGCTTAGGGTTCAGAGGTTCATCCCAAAGTAATATAGGGGCCTCAACAATTACCTGCATTCTTTTGGGGGGTCCCTTATTATAACTATACTATAATAAAGGACCCCCAAACCCTATTTTAAATATTAAGGCCCCTATGTTAAGCCTTTATAGTAACTCTTATTGAACCCGTTAAAGGAACCCTTAAAGGAACCCTATTCTAATTATTAAGGCCCCTAAATTAAGCCTTCGTGTCCTCAGATGCCTGATCCCCAAACATCTCCGAAACTCGGCCTCTAAACCCTAAACCCTAAACCCTAAACTTCTGCACCACTGGGACTTGCAATGCCAAACCTGGACCTGGCAACTTGAGGGTTGAGGGTTTAGGGTTTGGGGATTTGGGGTTGAGGGTTGAGGTTTTAGGGTTTAGGTTTTAGGGTTGAGGGTTTAGGGTTTAGGTTTTAGGGTTTAGGGTTTAGGTTCTGGTTTTAGGGTTTAGGGTTCCTACCACCTTAAGTCGCTGCGAGGGGGTTTAGATGCACAACCGTCTTTGAAACAGACGTGGCCCTAACTCCACCGAGACTGATGCCTTTCGCAACCCAACATAGACCGTCTTAGACCCGATATAGTAGGTCATTTTTTGTGAGGACCACTACATGAGCTGCCCCTAACTAGTCTTAGAGCATACGGTCTAGGCAGCATCCAAAGCGATCGAGTGTTGTAGCTGCTCGATGGCCTTATTTTGGCTCTTTGCTACCACCTTGGCCTTTTCATGCTACGTGTAGCAAGGACACTAAAAGCTTCACTTTTGGAGCGGTTCAGAAGGCTACCGAGACTGCCAAGTTGGCTTGACGTTGGTATCTAATCCCGGTGCTGAACTAAACCCTAAACCCTAAACCCCGAACCCCAAAACCCTAAACCCTAAACCCCAAAACCCTAAACCCTAAACCCTAATCCAAGCTTTCGACTTCACAAGACGGCAGCTTCCAGCGCTCCCTTCAACCCGACCCCCCTCAAACCCCTTAATCCCTAAACCCCTCAAGCCCCTAAAGCCTGAACCCCACATCCGCGAACTTCTAAGCCCAAGCTTGTGCGAGTGGTTTTTCTGGCTTGCAGAAAATAGTTGGCTTTTGTATAGAAGACTCCTTACGATAGGAGGCTTAAAATAAGGTAAAATAAGGTAATACAGGGGCCTTAATAATTATGTAGAATTTGGTTTGGGGTATCTTATACTGTAATGAGAATAAGGAACAGTTTTCTAATTCTTAAGGCCCCTGCAATACCCCCGGCAGTTTCAGAAGCTCTGAAATCTTCTATGCTCGACCCTCGCAGACGCCTGCTCGAGCCATGCGGCAGCAGGGCAGCACACAGGTTCTAAGTATCCTTAAACCCCTGAACCCCTAAACCCCTAAAACCCTAAACCCTAAACCCCTAAAACCTTAAACCCCTAAACCCTAAACCCCTAAGCCCTGCCTTGGATGTGACGAGCCATCAGAGTCGAGCCGAGTCGAGCCGATCCGTCATGGCAGCTCAGGCACATGGGTAGCTATCTAAATTCATGAGGTTTGAGACTTTAGGGTTGAGGGTTGAGGGTTTTAGGGTTGAGGGTTTTTAGAGGGTTGAGGGTTTAGGGTTGAGGGTTCAGGGTTTTAGGGTTGGAGGTTTAGGGTTGAGGGTTTAGGTTTTAGGGTTCAAGCCGGGTTTAGGGTTTAGCGTTCCCTGTTAGGGTTCCTTAAAGGGATCTTTAAGGGCTTCTACAGGGGTAAAAGGGTTCTAGATGGGTAGTTCTCCTAAATTAGGGTCCCTTGCAGGGCCTTGTTTTTCAGGGTGCCGTACTGTTTGGGGGGACCTGAACAGGGGACCTTTGACTTAGAGAATTACACACGTCCACCAGGCCGACACCCTAATCGCCCCAAAGTCCTGAGCTGGACGAACCCTAAACCCTAAAGACTAAACCCTAAACCCTAAACCCTAAATCGTGAAAGGACTGGTTCGCTGAAGAACCTAAGCCAACTCCCAAGAAGATCCAGACCTCCCGGCGGTTTTTGTGTCTTGAGCGCCCAGTGCCCTTCACTGCGACACTATGTTTGAAGTCATCTTGAGGAATTTCTGTGACCCTAAACCCCTAAACCCTAAACTCCTAAAACCCTAAACCCGAAACCCCGAAACCCTAAACCCCTAAACCCTAAACCTCAACCCGGAGACTCGAAGATGCCAGGAAGAACCGAAAACGACGGTTGATGATATAAATCCTGCATTACCCAGAATTAGGAATATACCATAATTCCCATAGTTCATAAGGCCTGCAAGAAATTAATGAAGGCGATTTTTGGAAACCCCCAACTATTTTTCGGCTTGGGTTGTGGGTTCAGTATTTCCAGGTTTCGGGTTTGGTGTTCTGAAAAGTTTCTGGATCAGGATCGCTTGAAAGAACTGTACTTTCATCGAACCGGTTGTAATTGCTGAGTCCAGGCATAGAGTTTTGGGTGGGTTATCGGTGATGAGAGTTTAAGGTTGAGGAAGTGGTCCTAAACTAAGGTTTCAGGATTTAGGGTTAAGGGTGTTTTGGGTCTATTATCTAGACTTTTGGGGTGAAGGGTTTATGATGTAATATAGAGGCCTTAATAATTACCTCTTCTACTTTGGGGGGTTCCTTATTATAGGTATAATATGATATACCCCAAAACCCAATGCTTCGGACAGCCTCATGGCCGCATCACACCCCCAAACCCCATTCCAATTATTAAGGCCCCTACGTCACCATCCAGATGGCCAGCCTGACTATATCTTTTTGTGTGAATAGGCGTGGAGGGAACCCCGAGGAAGAGACCATCTGTCGTAAGAAACCCTAAAAACCCTAAAATCTTAAACCACCTTCACTCATGACGGACTCCTCCCTCCGGCACTCGAAACAACACTACTGCTCTGCAGGGCGGAGCGTCAGTCCGCATCCGGATAAACCTGCTGAGTGGAAATCACATGGATATCGACGTTACCTGGCTTTATCCGATGTGAGGGAGGGTGAAGGTTTGATGGGCCAGGATTCCGGGTTTGGGGCATACAGCCGAGGGCTCTGGGCCTAGGAACTGATGGACCCGGAAGTTGCCTTTGGATCTATGCTATACTAGACTATACTATACTATCTTCATCGCAATTGTTCGTAATCACTGGCACACGAAGAAGGCGCTTCCCGTGCATCGGTAGCGATGCGAACCCCAAGAAGCTATCGAGTGGTAGCGTGTGAAGCTGAAGCCCCGAATGAGCAGACCTTGACCCCAAAACAAACTAGTTCCTATCCGTAAAGCCTGCATGATAGGCACAAGCATGTAAAAACACCCTAAAACCCTGAACAGTAGTGTTGTTGGGCTTGTGTTCAAAACATGGGGGGGGCGGGGTCCTGATTTAGAGAACTACGAATTCGGATGCGAGATTAATCGGCCGTGAGGCCGACTCATTCTTCTGGTGGGGCGCAGAATGCAAAACCTGTTCAGTCCAAACGGCATGTGATGGGAGAACCTAAGCTATGCGTGCATGCTCACGTATCTATATATATATATACACATACATATGTATAGATGATATGTGTATATAGAGAGGGAGACCGATCGTGTGTGCATGTGTCCACATATGTATAGACACAGAGATGTATATATGAATATCGGAATGTAGGTAGGCAGGTAGGTAGGTAGGTAGGTAGGTAGGTAGGCAGGAAGGTAGGTAGGTATGCATGCATGCATGCATGCATGCATGCATGCATGCATGCATGCAAGCACG